TATATATAGAAAGTAGAGATAAAGACAGAGAAAATGAATAGAAGAAAAATAGTTAAATATATAGTTGTTTGATTATCTATAGTAATAGATAAAGGGTAATATACGTCATCTTGTAACTGATTTTGTCTAATTTTATTTGTAATAATATTATTATATATTTAAATAGTTTAATTTTAATAATTTTTAAGTATATTTTTGTCTTTTATCTTAAATTTTTGAATTTCTATATTATAATTTTAATAATTTTTTATTTCTACTATTTATTAATTTTTTTTTCTTTTTTAATTTTATAACATTATTGAAATCTTATAACTTTAATCTCTATAATTTTATCTTATTTTTTATTTTATAAATATAATTTGGATTATTCATTTTATAATTAAATTATTTTTTTTAATTTTTTTTTTATAAATTTATATAAAAAAAATGTATTGAAACTTCTTAATCTTTAAAAGTACCGTAACAACTCCCTTAATTTTTTTTATTATTTTGAATTTCGAACGAGGGGTACGGTATGCCTTCATTTTTTACTCATAGTTGATGCATATGTCGCTTGGATAATCCCAAAAATTGTACTGCTTTTTTTTTTTTTTATTCTTTCAAGTTTTTATGTTATTTTTTTAACCTCTTTTTTTGTTGCAACCTTCGTTCACACTGCATAATTAAGTGCTTAAGCTATGATACTAATTGAAATGAGCAGATTATATTGCAAGAAAATTAAGTTATGATTTTAAAAAATTATTACATATCTTTTTAAACGTACCCTAATGCTCAGAATGCAAATTAAAATTATAATATGTTTCAAAGATTTATAATTTTAATTGTAAATTTCTTTAATAATTAAGATAACTGTGTCTTTTAATACAGAAGTTCTTTAGACACATACTCGTTTAATATTAGATAATCTAACATGTGTTGTAGTGACTTGATCTCGATCATTTAATACTGTACTCGAGACAAACAAGTTGGATAACAATGTAAGCACTAAACTAAAGCACACACGATCGTGAGAATTAAATGTTTAGTGTTTCAACAAGTTATATATGTTAGTTGTTAATGGCATAATTTATACGAGCTTACGACAATTACAAGACTGTGAGTTGAATTGAATTTTTTTTCCTGATTTTAAAAAATAGTCTCGAATTAATACATATCTTTTACTTACTTGCTGATATGTTGTTTTTCTTCTGATTAACGATTTAAGAGAATAAGAGCTAGCATAGACACAAAAATAAATGACTTGTCGTAAGGAAACTCTTATTATTTCCTTGCAAAAACAAAGGATATATACCAACCAACTATTTCCCAATTAAGTTTTTCAGAATATCTTGTTCACCTTCGCACTGCGTGTCTTTGAATTGAATTATTGAAATGAATAAGGTCGCATTCTGACTTTGGTTACGAGGTATACTAGTATTAATTAATCTCAAGCACGTCTCCTTGTAAAATATACAAAACTAATAAATAGAATTTGTTTATGCAATGACTTGTCACACTTTAACTTCCATGGCGATAGTAAAATTTTGTAACACGTGTTAAAAGGAAAATACGCTGCAGGATCATTGTAGTAAATTGATAAATAATGATATAATAATTTTCTAGGTCATATAGTCAGAAATTAAGCACAACTTTATCATATTCAAAATTCCGGTTAGGTCAAAATTGCAAGCTATCGACGAATCGTAAATTTTCTTCCCTGTGGGCATTTTTAGGTTCATTTATTCGTAATCATTTTTCATACCCCTCCTAATCTGGCGAAAATTCAATTGCTTCTATCAAAACGTACCCTTAGCTTGCAAATATTCCAACTATACCTAAAACGCGCAATTTTGTTGAAATGTCAAATTTCAGGTGTTATCTATATATATTAGACTCGTAATTGGTTACTAGGGACAACATACACAAACATTGTTTCATTTCATTAAACTACAACCATCACAATCTTGTTGTTACAACATGAAGCGTTTCGTGTTTTCTCTAGCATGGGCTTTTGCTCTTGTGCTAGCTTCTTCATTGGCTCATGCTGCTGTAGTGGAACACACATTCAATGTATGAATTAATGAGCTACTACGTTCTTCTCTACCTTCATGGGATAATCAAAGTTTGCATTATATTCATAATTTAGAATGAAATGTTGTTTTTTTATAGGTGGAGGATATTGCTGTGCAGCGTTTGTGTCATAAACAAGTGATCACTGCCGTAAATGGAATTCTGCCTGGACCTACAATTAACGCTCGAGAGGGTGATACTGTTGTGGTTCACGTATTCAACAAGTCACCCTATAATGTTACTATTCATTGGTAAAAAATTTCTCTCCCTCATAATAATGAAAGAAATCACGTAGAAATTAAGCAGTGCTAATAGATAAGACTATTATAAAAAAAACACAACACGGTTTGACCTTAAGAAAGAGTTATATATTATTGACTTCTGTTATTTGCTTCATATGTTTATTTGCATTTTTTTTCTTGTATCTGTCCAATTCTCATTCCCAAAAACTAGAGATTTTTATTAATTAATAAAAAGTAGAATTGAAAAAATAAATTATTAATTTAAAGCGACCCTAGCTAGAAGTCGACCACCCTCACACTATCTTGTAACTTTTAGGAATTTCAAACTTAGGCTTCTTTTTTGTGTGTGTGTAAATTACAAACTTGGAACAAATTCAGTTTAATATGAAGAAAGTGGTTTATCACATTTTTAATTAGTTTTCCATTGTATCATACAGTACACATGAAATTATTTACAAGGTTTCTTCTATATATAAGAAAGTAATAAATTACTTGAATTTAGATAAAATTATAAAGTATATGTTGAAAGAAAAATATTTTAGACATGTTTAAGATCATGCATGCATAAAATTAGAGAATGTATAATTAGAGTAGAAACTAAGATTCAAAATATTTAAAAACTATTTGACAGTATAATTGATAAACACATGAAGATCATTTTGCATAAAAAAAGTCAAGGAAATTATATTTTTAAAAATTCAAGCTGATGAGAATTAAGAAAAGTAAAGAAAATTTACATAAAAGAAGATTTTTGATCAAGCAATTAATTATTAACATTTGAGAATGGTCAAGTCTATGCCTTCATAGAAAACACATGAAATAGGAGTATGAAATATCTCTTTTTTTTTCCAAGGATGTGAACTTAATATAGGATATTTTTTCCACAAGTAAAACTAAATTTGGATACATTTTACAATACACTTTTATGCAGGCACGGAATTCTTCAATTTTTAACTCCGTGGTCAGATGGTCCTGAATTTGTAACTCAGTGCCCAATACGTCCTGGTAGCAGTTACACATACAAATTTCTCATAACGGGACAAGAAGGAACACTTTGGTGGCATGCACACTCATCTTTTCTACGTGCCACGGTCTATGGTGCCCTTATCATTCGTCCTCGACGGGGTCACTCATACCCCTTTCCTAAAGTTTATCAAGAAGTCCCTATACTCCTTGGTACAATTTTTTCTTTTATTCTTCAATTATTACTTCATTTAATGTTATTCTTTATTTGCCTAGACCATACTCTATGCATGTTAGCCATATATGTATATGTATGTATTCCTTTAGTTGATAAAGGAACAAAAGTTAGCCATATATGTTGTATGATTCTTAAAACCATAATTAATTGCAGGAGAGTGGTGGAATGATAATGTCGTAGAGGTTGAGCAGAACGCAACAGAATCCGGTTTACCGCCAAAGGATTCAGCCGCGTATACAATTAACGGTTTACCCAGCGATCTCTACAACTGCTCCAAAGACAGTAATATATTTCAACTCAACTGTCATATATATGTATTCTCAAATTTGTACATGTTATAATTTGTCGTATACATGTGATAAATCCAGAAACGTACCACGTGAAAGTGAAGCAAGGAAAAACGTACATGCTGCGCGTCATCAACGCTGCACTCAATGCGCAACACTTCTTCGAGATAGCGAACCACACCATGACGGTGGTGGCCATCGACGCTGCCTACACCCAACACTACAACACCAACATCCTCGTACTCGCTCCGGGCCAAACCGTCGATGTCCTCCTCAGAACGGACCAGCCCGTGGGCTCTTACTACATGGCCTTCACTCCCTACCACTCGGCCCCGGGCGTGCCGATCAACGCCAACATGACCCGAGGCGTCGTAATCTACGAGGGCGCCACGTCAGCGGAAAAGCCCGCCATGCCGGATCTCCCGGCCCAAACCGACACCCCGACGGCCCACAAGTTCTACACGAACATAACAGGCCTGGCCGGTGGACCCCACTGGGTGGCCGTGCCGCGCCACGTGGACGAGCACATGTTCGTGACTTTCGGGCTTAGCTACGACGTGTGCAGAAACTTTTCGGGAGGTTGCTCCGCGAACCAACTTCCTCTTTCCGCCAACATGAACAACGAGTCCTTCGTGCTGCCTCGGGGCAAGGGCCTGTCCATGCTCGAAGCCTTATACCGTAACGTTAACGGCGTCTACACTAGGGATTTTCCCGATCGGCCTCCGTTTGTGTTTGACTATACCAACGAGAACTTGACGACGTTAGTTGACTTCGCGCCTAAATCGACGAAGGTGAAGACGCTCAAGTTCAATTCGACGGTTGAGATTGTGCTTCAGAACACGGCCATCATTGCCGCAGAGAATCACCCCATTCACATTCACGGCTTCAATTTCCATGTTTTGGCTCAAGGGTTTGGGAATTACAACGCCACTAGGGATGAGCCTAAGTTCAATTTTGTCAACCCTCAAATTCGTAACACTATTTCTGTGCCCGTGGGAGGATGGTCCGTCATTAGATTCCAAGCAAATAATCCAGGTTCGTTAATTAATTATTTATTTAATTTCTACACTTTAATATTTAAGTTGAAATTTGTTACTAATTAATTTAATTTAATTTTTTTGCATGCAGGTATTTGGCTCGTGCATTGCCATTTGGAAACTCATTTGCCGTGGGGGCTAGCGATGGCTTTCGAGGTTGAGAATGGGCCCACTCCTTCATCCACACTGCCTGCGCCACCACCTGATCTTCCTAAGTGCTAAGCCTGCGCACGCCATACATTCATCATTCATCAAACATACGTTACATATTTTACAGTAAAAGGAAATATATAGATTAATTGGTTAATGTTTATCCACTCACTATATTGTGAGGTGGATTTCCAAAACATATAATTTGATTGGGAGAAAGTAAGTGTAATAAAAGACGAAATAGAGCCCATTGTACTCTGTCAAATAACATCTGTTAATTTGTCATTATTAATGAATTCTTTATTTTCTCATGTTGTCTTTTTTTTTTTTTTTTTTTTTTTGTTCTTTCCCTTTATGCTCTTCTCATTCTTTATATAAGAAAAAAAATTGATATTTCCTTTAATCATTTTATAAAATTCAATTATATCTAATTCATTAGAATTATAGAAATTAGTTAATTTAATTGATAACATTAAATTTATTCAAAAAAAATTTCAAAATTATTTCTAACATTGATGAAACTCGATCTTACTTTACAAATTACTTATTATTGGATTAAGATAAATGACTATGGAGTGATTCTTTTTCTTCTTAATTATAATAAATATAAATTTAGCTTGAGATGTATTTATTACTTTTTCAGTCAAATAAAAAAAATATTTATTATTAAAAGATTATACTCTTCATTTATTATAAAATTTATTAATGAGATATTTATTTATCTCTGCGAATGTATTTATTAGTTTATTAATAATTCAAGTCACATTCCTTAATAAAAAAATAATCTTTTAAATTGGATGTAACATCCTTAAATATAACTAATGCTTAAATCATTTAATTTAAATGGTATAGTGGTGAGAGAATGGACCATCCAGCGTAATATGGATTGTGAACTCTGACAAATCGGGGTAAAAAATAGTGATCCTATTTAGACCTTTAAAATGAAACTGGAGTCTCAAAAAGTTCGATTCTTTTTGGGTTTTTTCTTTTTACAATATATAACCTCGTATCAGACCATGAAAATCCGAGTTTAATTTCGATTCAAATTTTAAAATTCAAACCCTATAGTTTATTGCCAAGTTTGTGTTGACTTGGCTAGAGCAATCTATTTTTTCACCTCTAAAAGAATATTTTTAGAAAAAATATAATTTTATACTATTATTAAACAAATTAATTGAATTAATATTTTTTTTAATTTAATGAATTAAATATTCGGGAGGGGGTATAAGTTGCTACCGACCTAATATTCACGCGTTAAAGTTTATTTACGTATAGTATACGCTTGAGTGTCTTTAAATGCCACGTTTTTCCAAATAGAAGTTATGAAAGGGAAAGTTTTTAAACATTTGTATATTTAAAAATTCACATCAATATATGCGAATCTCAGCACTTGTTTTTTATAAATGAATCTCAATAAATCGTAAACGATACATAATAAGTGTGGTTAAGAAAATGAGTTACACTGTATGACGATTAATTAGCCCATTGGCCTTTTCTGTATTAAATTAGTTTATCAATATGACAACTACTGAATGGCTACGTACTAAAACAATAGTTTACGACTTTGAACTTCCTACGTATAGATGAACAAATAATCAGTTTATCTTTATAAATTAATAACGTAATTCTCATTTATGTCATACTTTTCAAATTAAACTAGTAAAAGATAGCGCTGCTAATTGTTGACTTTTTTACCCTTTAAACGAAGTACTACTATGAACTAGTAGTATTTTATTAGCAGTAAGCTATTTTTAGTAAAATTTATAATTTTAATATTTAAATACCCACTTTTTCTTTTAAGTACTTGTACTATGAAACTAACATCGCTATCAATATATATACATATACGTACGTATGTATAGAATACCTAACTAGTCGAATAAAAAAACTAGTGTAGTGTAAAATTTCTATGATTTTCATGTAAAAGATACGTATCAACCTGCCCTAGTTTCGCCTTTGTTAATTTTCCCCCCTTGCACTGTGAATTGTTGAAAAAAGCCCTCACAATCTGACTTCCATTACAGGACACAACTTATTAACCAAGGTTGACACGTCGTCTGCGCGTACAATGCACTTACTAAATTACAACTTGATTCTGTTATTACTTATAAAACTTGAACAGTGCCAAGGGTAAAAATTCTCCAATTTTTTAATCATAAAAATTAATTAATTAATATTTGACTGTATGATATGGTTGATAAATCGTAAATTTGAGCCTTAGTATTTTTTGATTGAGATAAATATTAACATGTCTTGATTTACAAGTATTATGACTTTGGAAGTTTTTTCTACCTCATAATTAAAATCCATGTTCTCACCCCTTAACTTATGTTAACCAAAGGAAAATAAGGGTGGTGGTTTTTTTAGCGGTGTGACTAGTCAGAAGTCAGAGGCTCATCACAATCAAAATTTCCGGTTATATGATCAAAACAAGTTATTGACCAAGTGTTGTCCTTTCCCATTGTGGGTGCTTCTGATGGCGAACCTAATTATCAATCATATTTAGCATGATAACGATGATTTCCCTTCTCCTAATGTGGCGAAAATTCAAAGGCTTGTTGTGTCAAGACCCTCTTGCAATATATCATAATTACATGGACTATAAACACGTAATTGTCGACCTAATGTGGAGTCTCAGGGTCTCTATATATAGGACTCACAATTTAACAGATCACATATATTGCTTAATTTATTTCGTCATCGATATCATTTCGTTCTTCGACATGAAACGTTTTGTGTTTTCTTTGGCTTGGCCTTTTGCCCTTCTGCTAGCTTCTTCCTTGGCCTCTGGTGCTGTTGTGGAACACACTTTCAATGTACGAACTCCCTCATTCTTCTCCTTTTTCTTTCTTTTAAAGATAAGAATTATGTTATTCATAAACAACTCATACAATAACATTGTTGGTATTTATTTTTCTCTATCACATCATTTATTACATATTAATTATATCTCCTCTCCATTTTCTCTTAGTTCTAAATTAAATTTGTTCTACAAATTGTTACTTCCTGTTTCATAATAAATAGTGTATTTGTCAATATTTTTTTGGTATATGTAAAATAAACTTAAGACAACACTATTATAAGACACATTAAATACTATATTGTATTGCATGATATTCATTGAAATTTCATTTATTGCAGATAGGTAACTTCACTGTGTCGCGATTGTGCAATCAGCATGTGATTACTGCGGTCAATGAAAGCCTGCCAGGACCAACGATTAACGTTGAAGAGGGTGACACTCTTGTAGTTCATGCAATTAACAACTCACCCTACAATATTACCCTTCATTGGTAAATTTTTCCCACCTCAAGAAAATGAACCTCATACATGGAATACAATTTGTTGACACGAGTGTAGATTTTGTTAAATTTGTACACCTTTTGTATATTTTATAGCTAGCAATAAAAACTTGTTTGGAGTTCATTTTTCACCATAAATTAAAATGAAAACATTACAACATGCGTATATGATATAAGATCGACTCTTATACACGTAAGTTTTACTAAACTTATAACTTTAATAATAACCTCTTAATTACAAGTGATAAATTTTATTGAACATTGATCCACTATGTTAAAAATTAAATTGTTGATTTTTTTTTTTTTATCATGACTGAAATATAACACTACTTCTATATTGACTTAAAAGTTTCCCTCTCATGTACATATTTTAAATTTAAAGAGATTTAGTTTAGTTTTTAAAATGATTTTTATACTAAAATTTCTCTGTCAAGGTTTACTATATATACGTACGTTTTTGAAGTGAAAAAATCTTTATACCATGATATAATTTAATAAGATTCTAGACTTTTTCTTCGCACCGGCCTGTTGTGAGATATATTTTCAAGCCATTTGAAAAAATAGGAGGTTTATTTTCACGTTCAGTTTACCCTTGTATTAATTAATAAAAAAGAAAAAAGGACTTTCAGGTTTCTTCTAAATCTAACTTTTCTACATGCAAGGAAGCAAAGTTTTCTACGTAGAAAGTGTCCAACATTTCTGTTATTACTTTTTGACTAACCATATAACAAAGATTAATATTAATTATTAGACAACTATGCAGCTGCTGTCATTTTATTATTCTTTAAATTATCTGTTAGTCAAAATATTTAGGTGTGTTTGATTTAATGGTATCCATTAAATCATTATCGATTCATGCAGGCATGGAATATTTCAACTATTGACTGCATGGGCTGATGGACCTGAATCTGTAACTCAATGTCCAATACGTCCTGGTGGAAGATACACCTATAGATTTAACATAACAGGACAAGAGGGTACCCTTTGGTGGCATTCCCACTCTTCTTTTCTTCGTGCAACTGTCTATGGAGCTCTCATTATTCGCCCTCGACGAGGACACTCGTACCCATTCCCTTCGGTTTATCAAGAAGTACCCTTATTAATTGGTATATTATATATTCTTTTTTGCTTTTCCTTTTCTTAATAACATGTTATTAGTATGTAGTATCTGCAAGTTTTAGTGAATAGAAATTTAAAGTGTTGATTTTGATCGACTTTTATTATGTTTCTAAGGAGTGGTTATTAAAAAAAATGATAATTAATTGCAGGGGAATGGTGGAATGCTAATGTTGTTGATGTGGAGAACAATGCTACAGAAACTGGTCTTGGTCCGGTTGATTCAGATGCTTACACGATTAACGGCTTACCTGGCGATTCTTACAATTGCTCTCAAAATCGTAAGTCTATTCTTTTAACAGTTTAACGTGTCAACTTTTAGTTATAGTTAATGTAATGAAGTTTATTTCGTATATTTAAAGATTTTCAACGCTTGAAAACCTTATCCTTCAAATTTTAATTTTCCTAGCCAAGCAAATCCTTCTCATCTAAATGGTGTATCCTTAATTTTTCAAACCTTTTTTTTTTTTTTTTTTTTTACATAGTTTTCAAACACTGTATATGATATAAAGGTTTTATAATTAAAAGTCATTTTCGGTATATTTTTTAAGATAAATTTAATAGAAGTCAAGAAATAATATTGTAAATTAAAAAAAATATTTAAATTGTCAGTGTTTTCTAATTAATTAAATTCTTAATTATTATTAATAAATTTTACATGAATTTTATTTAACAATAAACAATATATAATAAAAGGCAAGTTAACAATGTTTAGGCTAGAACATATTTTTAGTTTATAAAAATGTATTTTTTTTTCTATTTTTATAATAAAATAATCATTTTTAGCCTATATTTAATATAAACGAAGTAATTCCCATATCCATGAATTAACTAGAATTGTATGATTTTATAGCTTTTAAAAATTAAATATAAATAATATTCATAAAGATTTAAATAAAAAATGGCCTATTTTTATTATTTTAGAGTTTAATTAATTTTCATATAAAGATGTTTATATTACTAATCATATTTATTTTATAAATTAAAGTGAATAAACAACCAACCCGGAAGTATAACTTTTATTAAAGCTAATAAATCTATGAAACACAATTTAGGATTATCAGTTAATTTGATTTAAATTCTTACTTTTACTTGTTAAAAGCATATCAAAGCAAGCTAACATTAATTTTATTACTAAAGTCAAAAAAGCATTCCTATCTCAGCGAAGTATACGCATTTTATCCCTTCAAACACCTTTGTGTTCACATTTGAACTTTGACATTATTTCAGAGACATACCAACTCCAAGTGAAGCAAGGAAAAACCTACTTGTTGCGTATCATCAACGCTGCCCTCAATGAGCAACACTTTTTCATGATAGCCAACCACACTTTCACAGTGGTAGCCATAGATGCTTCCTATACTCAACATTACAACACCGACATCATAGTCCTTGCCCCAGGTCAAACCGTTGACGCACTCGTAACCACAAACCAAACCCTAGGCTCTTACTACATGGTCTTCAACCCATACCACTCCAACCCTAACGTGGGAATCAATGCCAACATCACCCGAGGGGTGATGGTGTACGAGAATGCCACGTCAGCGTCACCCATCATGCCGAACCTTCCGGCCCAAACCGACACGTCCGAGGCCCACAAGTTCTACACGAACATCACGGGCCTGGCTGGTGGGCCCCACTGGGTGCCCGTGCCACGTCACGTGGACGAGCACATGTTCATAACTTTTGGGATTGGGTTAGACCATTGCAACGAAACGGGACCCAACGGGTGTGGTGGAACAAACTTTAGACTCTCCGCGAGCATGAATAATGAGTCCTTTGTTTTGCCCAAGGGGCTTTCGATGATGGAGGCTTTTTACCGAAATGTTAGTGGGGTGTACACTAGAGATTTTCCTAGTAATCCTCCGTTTGTGTTTAACTACACCGATCCTGCGTTAGAGACCAACGGAACGGCCATTGCTTATGCACCTAAATCAACTAAGGTGAAGACTTTGAAGTTCAATTCGACGGTGCAAGTTGTGCTTCAGAATACGGCTATACTTGCTAGGGAGAATCATCCAATTCACCTTCACAGCTTCAATTTCCATGTTTTGGCTCAAGGGTTCGGGAATTATGATTCCAATGTGGATGAATCCAAGTTTAATTTGCATAATCCTCAAATTCGTAACACGGTTGCGGTGCCCGTGGGAGGATGGGCCGTTATTAGATTCCAAGCCAATAATCCAGGTTGGTATCTTTCGTTAATTAAATTTAAACTTAATCACACTTTTTTTACCCCAAGTGTTTTATTGTTCAGCAAATTTTATAACCTAGTTTTTAAGATTTTACATATTTTATTAATTTATTAGTTAACTTAAATGATATGTTAATTATTGACATGATATATTATATCACATCAGCAATTTATATTACTAGTTAATATAATATGTTAATGGTCAATAATGAATATGTAATATTATTAGTCAATTAACAATATTAGATAGTCAACCGATTTTGTAACAAATTATGTAAAATGTTGAAAATTAATGATAAAATGTGTAAAATTTGCAAAATATGAAGCAGAAAATGCAATTAAAGCTTTAATTTATGCTCTTTTTTTGTGACATAATTTAAGTTTAATTGTACTATGACAAAAGTTTGAAATTAAATTTATGTATGCTATGGTCAGGTATATGGCTTGTGCATTGCCATTTGGAGACTCATTTGCCGTGGGGGTTAGCCATGGCTTTCGAGGTTGAAAATGGACCTGAACCTTGGGTGCTGCCACCGCCACCAGCTGATTTGCCCCAGTGCTGAGTGAAAAATACACCGATACACTTCACACCTTATAAATTTTAAAATAAATGATGAAATTTGATCGGATTTATTTACTGTAACATCTCATAATGTTCATTTTTAATTCTATTTGTTTGACTAAGAATAAAGAAAGTATGGTGATAGCTGACAATTAATGAAAGGTTATCTTCATGAATCTACTCAGTTCTTTCACGCTATGAAGTAGGATGATCAATTGTTTATCAATACTTTTTTCTTTTAACTTTTCGTATAAGGTTTCTTTTTCTTCCGATTTTCATAGAGTCGTCCGTTATAAGCGTATTCGAATCAATCACGAAGAGTAGTGCGTGTGTGTTATGGTTTGGGTTTGATTTATCTTTATCCATCCAAAATTTTGATAGGGTTTATTTGAATCTAAACTCAATTTTATTAGACTTAATAATATATAAAACAAATGTATATCTACTTAACTTATTAACGTAATATTTTAATCTTAATTTATATAGTTATATAAATTAGTAAAAGAAGTATAAAATTTAAATTAATGTATTTTTATAATATATATCAAAATAAATAATATTAATACAACTAAAGTAAAGCAAATGAATGAATATCCTATATTTTTAATATAGGATTCTTTAAAAAAAATAGTTTTATAAAATAATATAAGACAGTAAAGTAGATTGAGATAAATCAAAATTATCAAAATCAATCTCAACCAACAAAATTAGAACAGTGAGAATACAAGTTGTGCACCGTGTAACACATGCAAATTACAACTTTGGCAAGAAACCGAAGTCAAATTTCATCATGTGCGTGACGTATACTAAAATATATTTAATTCAAATAGTCTTACAACTACCGAGACGCGATATTAGAATGCTTCATAAAAGGTCAACGCTAACCTGCCATCAAGTTTTCAAACTACTAAATTTTGTCTTATATTTTCCTATAACAAGCTGTATAGAAGTTTTTTTTTTTTTAGCTTTATGGAAACATAATCGAGATATTAATACAATGTCATGATAGAAATTGAAAGAAGAATTTTAAATATATAACATCGAGTTTCCTTGTCTGAATCATTCTCGATATGACATGAAAACTAAATTTTTGGCTAAGTACGGTATGTAGTTTGTGCTTGTATAATATACTCCTTTTGATTTTAATTATTAGGTGTTTTTAATTGAATTATAAGAATTAGTATAAGTAGTTTTGATTTTTATTATTAGGTATGTTTAATTGAATTATATAAATTAATATGAGTAGTTATGTTAATTGATTTTTTTGAGTTTATAAAAAAATTATGATATATTAATTTTACCTTTTTTTTTACTCTCTCTAAACTTATATGTAGGCAAAAGTACCTAAATTCACACCTATCAAGAAAATTAGTTAAGTTCATTTAATTTTATGGGTTTTATATGGAAGCTAAACTTTATTTTCTAAACTACCCTTCATAATATGTTCATTGAAAATTTATTATTTTTTAAAAGATAGATTAAATTGAATAAGTTATTTAGAATTTGCTTATTTTTAAGTCCAAAAATTGTAGGTACTTTTTTTGCTTATACGAGTCTAGAGGAAGTATCATTAAATTTTCATGAAAAGTGTAAAAATATTATTTTATATAAAAGTTTATGTATCAATGCCAATAAAATTGATAAATGACAATGAAAAAGTTTGAGAGGTATAAAGAGAGAATATTTATTTCTAAATTTTCTTCTTATTATCCAATAACAAGAAACTCGTATTCTCATAATGTTTTAATAAACACAATAGATAAAAGAAAAATAATGATTTATAGAAATTGTAAAATGATTTATATAAAGGACCACATTTTACTCTTAAATTATGTTTTATAATAAAGACTGAAGGAAGTAATATGAAAAGATGATGATTTGATAAGGGTAAAAAAAAAGACTTAGAAAAAATATGGTTATATTGTTGATTATCTCAATAAATTTTGTTCAAGAAACATGGTAGTTATATCTAAAAGGCAATTATAATCACCCAAGCAGTTTAGTAATTAATTACCTCAAAATATGGTCATATTTTTTTAGCAAACACCATCAAATACAAAGTAGTTATCATCAATTATGAGAGGTTATTACACCATATCTAACATATAACTACCTCAAGAGGACATGTCATAATCTTATAATAAGTAGGTAATTATTGTAAATATGTCAAAATCTTACATTTCACTAAAATAAATACTCATTACTGACGGACTTTTTTCCATGATAAATATTTGTCTGAAAAATGACATTATCGACGAATTTTTCCAATGAATATGTGTCTGTTTGAAACATAAACAATTCCGACAGATATTACTCACAAATTTTTTCTATATGACATTTCAGATGGATGATACCCACAGATTTTTTTGTAGGAAAATTATAATGTTTCAAACAAATATTTTTCATGGATTATTTGTCTAAAATATTGTTCATCAAAAATACAAAAAAGTTCATCGGTAACTTTAAAAAACTATAATGATAAAAGATTAAAAAATTAAATTCTTAAATACTTAACTAATTTTCTAATGCTACGTAATTTTCCATACCAACTATTATATATATATAATTTATAATTAAATGATAGTATAAAATAATAATTTACTATAAATATATTTTGGAATTATATATAGTTAATTTTATTTAAATTGAGACATATATAATTAGTGAAATGACATTGATGCATGATAATCTAAAATTAAAAGGTAATTTCTTAACATTTATAATAATTTTACCAATTTTGAACTATATTATTTTTAATAAAACAAGATTGGTATTTAATACAATTTTGAAATGATTTTTTAAAAATATTATCAACAATACCCACAAAATTACTGACGGATTTATCCGTGGGTAATTACCGACAGATGTATCCGTGAGTAATTATTTTTTATTAATAATTTATTTTAAAAATAATAAAGTTAATTCATAAGTAATTTTGATAAATAAAAACTAAATTAGATAAGAAATTAAAAAATATATATGCTTCTTCTAGTTAAAGAAAAGTCTCTAAAAACACTATAGCACAATAAAGACATTTGTGCTTTATATATAGAAGTTAATTATTCTTTGATTAGTTAATAATTTTAGTTTAAATTATAGTTATTTAAATTTTAAATATGAATATAGATTTTTTTTAAAAAAATATTAAGGTAAGTGTGAAGTGTCGTGAATTGGAGCTACTAAGAGGTCAAATATAAAAGGTGTTGCACTAAACAATGTTGTTATTTAATACAATTTTAAAACGATTTTTTAAAAGTGTTATCAATAATACCCACGTAATTACCGACGGATGTATCCATGGGTAGTTACTGACGGATGTAACCATGGGTAATTACCGACGGATAAATCTGTGGGTAATTACCGACGGATATATCTGTCGATAATTATTTTTTATTAATAATTTATATTAAAAATAATAAAATTAATTCATAAGTAATTATTATAAATAAAAACTAAATTATATAAGATGTTAAAAGATATATATAATTCTTCTAGTTAAAGAAAAATCTCTAAAAACGCTATGACACAAGATATACATTTGTGTTTTATGTGTAGAAGTTAATTATTCTTTGATTAGTTACTAATTTTAATTTAATATATATTTATACAAATTTTAAATATGAATATAGATTTTTTTTTTTTAAAAAGATTCAGGTTAGTGTGAAGTGTAGTGAAGTAGAGTCACTAAGAGATCAAATCTGAGGGGTGTTGCACTAAACAAGGTTGTTATTTAATACAATTTTGAAATAATTTTTTAAAAATGTTATCAACAATATCCACGGAATTACCTACGCATGTATTCGTGGGTAATTATCGACGGATATATCCGTGGGTAATTACCGATGGATAAATCTGTGGGTAATTATCGATAGATATATCCATGGGGTAATTATTTTTTTTATTAATAATTTATGTTTAAAATAATAAAATTAGTTCATAAGTAATTATGATAAATAAAAACTAAATTAGATAAGAAGTTAAAAAATATACAAAATTCTTCTAGTCAAAGAAAAGTCTCTAAAAACTCCATGACACAAGATAGACATTTGTGCTTTATATATTTATTTAAATTTTAAATATTAATATAGATTTTTGATAAAAAAAAATTAAGGTTAGTGTGAAGTACTGTAGAGTGGAGCCGCTGAGATGTAAAATCTGAGGGGTGTTGCACTGAACAAGGTCGTTATTAAATACAATTTTAAAATGATTTTTTAAAATATTATTAACAATACTCACAGAATTACCCACGAATGTATCCATAGGTAATTACTGACGAATGTATTTGTGGGTAATTATTTTTTATTAATAATTTATTTTAAAAATAATAAAATTAATTTATAAGTAATAATTATAAATAAAAACTAAATTAGATAAAATGTTAAAAAAATATATATAATTGTTCTAGTTAAAGAAAAGTCTCTAAAAATGCTATGACACAAGAAAAACATTTTGCTTTATATATAGAAGTTAATTATTCTTTGATTAGTTACTAATTTTAATTTAATATATGTTGATAAAATTTTTAAATATGATTTATTGATTAAGTATAATATTTATCTATATATATAATTTATTATAAATTTTAATTATATATAATAAAAATGTAACTTGTGAAATACATGGACTAAAATACTAGTATTTTTAATTTACATAAAAATTATAGTATTATATTATATTATAACTTGTAAAATATACTGGAATGAGAGGAATCCAAAGATTGTACAAGTATGAGATTGTATAGTTGAGGATGACTTAAAAGAATTAATTTGTACTATCTATATCAATAAGATGCATCTACTTTTTGGTAACTTATTCCATAAGAACTTCACAGTTAAGTGTGCTTGACATGATGTAATTTAGGGATGGATAACCTTCTATGAAGTTTTCCAGAAAAATGTACAAGTGAAGAGAAGGCACGCTAAAAAGTCTTGTGTTGATTTGTGGGATCAATCTTTGATCCTAAAAGCGGACATATATCTTAAAAAGGACTACTCACGGAGGGTTCTAATCGGTGAAAGGTTCTGACCAACGAGGAGTTGCGTGAAGTGTCATGGAGTGGAGTCATTAAGAGGTCAAATTTGAGGGGTGTTGCACTAAATAAGGGTGTTATTTAATACAATTTCGAAATGATTTTTTAAAAATATTATCAACTATACCCACGGATGTATCCGTGAGAAATT